GATTTATATATTTGGTACAGAGTAAAACTATTTTTGCCTTGATATATTAATGATGTGATTAACTGGATATCAAACTTGTGGAGATGAGTTTGAAAGGGCCCTGTATTTGGAGAATGTGGAGCCCAGTAGTAATCATCTCGCTGTTCTTATATTTGCTTTTGGTATCTGTTTAATAACTTTCTAATATAATGTCCAGTTTTGATGAAATATTGTAAGCTTGAACAGAGACCTAGGCTGTAGAATTCGAATTTAAGGCAACACCATGAATGCTAAATTAGTATAATACATTCTTATTGGTCAATATTTTCCATACAATGATGTCATCAGATCTGACTAAGACTATACATTATACAATACAGTGACTAATTAGACAACTGTTACAAAGTAGCTTACAGGAACTGGGTGACACAGATCGATTCTATAGGAAGGGAGGTAACCCCTATAACTATAATATTGCATCCAGGTGAACTGGAAGATTGAGTAATGCTAATTGTTTATTTCAAAATTCAAATTGAATTCAAATCAATGTAATTTGTCTGATATATTATTAATCCCAGCAAGTATGAAATTCAAAGTTCAAAAATATGAATGTATACATGTACAAAAATATTCGTAAGGAATTTCAGAAAATTGAGAGATTCATTTTGTAAGGTTTACAAAGTTACGAAATACATGCATGACCGATGTTTTGAGAAAATGGGGTAAATAAATTTGGATGTCCATCTGTAATGCTTCTTTTCCATGCAGTAACTCCCCAAATCTGGTCCAATTTCAACTAATGGTTTCTTATAGATGTTGGAAAATGTCAAACAAGTTTGATGGCAAATTCGATGGGTGCATAATTAAAGTACTGTGAAAACATGAGGTTCTATGTATAACGCATTAAACATCGTTGGTTGTTGTCATTGCCTTAGAATCAACGATAAAATCATGTTAACTTCTGACTGCATGGCCGGTCAATTTACAAAATCAAAAAGCAAACTGAGCATTGTTCTTTTCTTAACATATTTTAAAATAAACATAATTGTTATTCTGTATTATATACATGTATTTGTTAAGTGATAATTTGTAAATGTGTATCCTGCATACAGTGCTGGTTAACCACATCCTTAGAGGGGCCTTTAATACCCCATACTTAGTGGGGCTTTTAATACCCCATACTCAGTGGGGCCTGAATACCCCATACTTAGCGGGGCCTTTAATACCCCATACTTAGTGGGGCCTTTAATACCCCATACTTAGTGGGGCCTTTAATACCCCATACTTAGTGGGGCCTTTAATACCCCATACTTAGTGGGGCCTTTAATACCCCATACTTAATGGGGCTTTTAATACCCCATACCTAGTGGGGCCTTTAATACCCCATACCTAGTGGGGCCTTTAATACCCCATACTTAGTGGGGCCTTTAATACCCCATAGTTAGTGGGGCCTTTAATACCCATACTTAGTGGGGCCTTTAATAACGGGTCCGTGCTCTAGTTTTCAACTATATAGTGTTATAGACTATGCTGAATCTTGTAGACGAAAATGTAAGCAAAAACTCACAATAGTGTACATAAATTGTAAAAGATGATTCTTAGATGTACTGTGGGAGTATTGTATGTTTTATGACTGACCCCCTCCATGATTATAAGGGTCAGTAAGACCCTAAGAGGGCGAGGCCGATAGGTCAAGCCTTCTGGTGGTCAAGAGCAAACCGTACCACGAATTTGTCACCTTGAGTGCCCATTCATAGTTCACTGTTTTACAGACATACAATGTTTTTTTTAAATCGGTGACTTTAGAGTGCTTAATATCGTGTTCTTTTTTATTAAAGTCATTATGACGTCCAGTTTCTTACGAAATCACTCGAAAAGCTACATAGCAACAACAATTGTCTGGTAATGTTGCTTTTGCATTTGTAACTATAATATGACAGGAGGGGAAACGTTTCTATACCAATTCACAGGGTGTTATTGTTAATTAAGTCATTCAACAAGTACTCCACGCGTATGGAAATCTTTGGTTTGAAAAAAACCGAGTGTAGGGTGACCCCTTCATGATTCCCTACTGACCTCCTAGGGAGTTTTAGGTCACCACGTTATCGAACGGGTTAAGAGTCATTTATGAAATTCCCGTGAATAAAAACTGTGTCTTCATGTCATATTTCAGTGCAACTATAGGTTGATTGTGATATTATAAATACATGTATTACGATGTACATTTTAGTCTTCAAAAAACAACATATTTCCTGTAAAATATTTGGCCCAATACAAATGNTCCTTTAATACCCCATACTTAATGGGGCCTTTAATACCCCATACTTAGTGGGGCCTTTAATACCCCATAGTTAGTGGGGCCTTTAATACCCCATACTTAGTGGGGCCTTTAATAACGGGTCGGTGCTCTAGTTTTCAACTATATAGTGTTATAGACTATGCTGAATCTTGTAGACGAAAATGTAAGCAAAAACTCACAATAGTGTATATAAATTGTAAAAGATGATTCTTAGATGTACTGTGAGAGTATTGTATGTTTTATGACTGACCCCCTCCATGATTATAAGGGTCAGTAAGACCCTAAGAGGGCGAGGCGATAGGTCAAGCCTTCTGGTGGTCAAGAGCAAACCGTACCACGAATTTGTCACATTGAGTGCCCATACATAGTTAACTGTTTTACAGACATACAACGTTTTTTTTTAAATCGATGACTTTAAAGTGCTTAATATCGTGTTCTTTCTTATTAAAGTCATTATGACGTCCAGTTTCTTACGAAATCACTCGAAAAGCTACATAGCAACAACAATTGTCTGGTAATGTTACTTTTGCAGTTGTAACTATCATGATTCCCTACTGACCTCCTAGGGAGTTTTAGGTCACCACGTNTTGGAGAGAGATTGAAATATGATTAGTGCTGCTATTTTCGTCAGGAGTGCTACACTACAAAAGGTAGATCCACTAACATTTGTTATACATTGTTGTTTTAAGAATGGTGTGTTATTTAATGAAGTTGTCTGTATAAAGAATTAATTTAAGTGACAACTTTGATGTACAATGATAATTAAATGAATGCCACGTCTATTGGTGCGTCTGGAGTTATACTTGATAATAAATTGTCTTGTTTTCAGACATTTATGTACTTTTCTCCTACGATTAATGTTTTTCCATAGTCCACTTACTAAGTGGATCAATGTTAACAGGGAATGGTGTTGTACTGTATGTAAATATTACATTACCTGAATAGTTGTAAGATTTATTTATAAATGTCTTAAGCATTTGACGTTCAATTGCTATCGTAGAAGTAAATCAATGAGTATTTCGTTTCGTTTATTGAGTGACTTAACATGTGGACCTTTTGTTGTGTACTGACCACGAGGCGCCCATTGGCGCATCTATACCGGTTGTCGGAGGATGGTCACTATGCAACGCGTCCAAATATATATATTCTTCCGTATTTATGAATTTTGATGACTGAGAATACAAATGTAAATGGACAAGGGACATAACAACATTTTCGGTAACAAAAACTGAAGGCAATTTACTTAACAAAACTTAAATATGCATTGATGAATGATACAATATCATTATATGCCTGTAATAATGTCCGTGGAGACTATTAATTTCCTCGTGTTGCTTTGTGTACGAGTTACTCCCCTTGCCACTATATCTCGTCTCCTTTCTCTGTTCGATCAGATTCAAATTGATTTTTTCCGTGGTTCACTAGTAAAGCTCGTAATAAATCTTAAAATAAACCGGGAAAGGTATAACATTTGTTATGTTGGACATCCTTACGGGAGCTAGTCAATGAAACTTGAAGATTATCGAACAGCTTTTATCAGTCCATACAGGTATAAAACGACACATGGCAAAGTCTTTGGAACGATGGACGAGGGAAACAAGTTGATGTGACGCTACTAGCGATAGCAACTCTCATCCTTCTTTTTACATCCTGTAAACAATAAACAAGTTAGTCTGAACAAGGTCACATACAACCATGGCCGTTTTCATTCTCTGGTGGGAATATCAACTGCATCTTAAGCTTGTCAACGAGATAGTGTTTTGGACAAAGGTTTTATGTAAACTGCGTAACAGATTAAACCGGTTATTAATTATTGACAACAGAGAGATTGAAACACTTTTTTGTTGTAGTTTGAAATATTTATATTATTATAGGGTTGTCTAAAGCACCCGATATAAGGAGTTAAACTAACCAATAACAAGCAGATGTTGCTCAACTATTTAGAAGATATAATGCGGGTTA